CCCCCCCCCCCCCCCGCAACATATTTTAGCTACATGGGGAAATTCAGTAGATTGTTGACTTTTAGCCGCATGTATCACATTGATCCATTTTCAGCTATATAGAGACAGTAACAGACCAACATAAATGTGTTATTTTAAGATGCCACAGAAATGTCTTAATCACTGTTATTTTGACAGAAGTTGATTGTCAGTGTTGATCATGTCACTGTATCATATACATTCCCGTAGTGGCGGTCTTAGCCACGAAACGGATAAAAAATTGCCGTTTTCCTCTTTCTGTGAGCACTATAGAGACAGGTTTCCCAATTTGTGTGTATAGATATTTTTCCCTTCTTCCACAGCATGCCTTTAATGGAAATTTCATATTATTCGTTAGTAACTTCTGAAAATATTACCGTACTTGTAATGCCCGGGCGAGGTACGCGTGAATCGCCCTGTACAGCCCAGGGTAAAGTTCCCATTTTCTCTCTTGCTCATGCCCTCGAGGCTTTTCAAGGTATCTTCTGCATCTTAGAAATGATTTCCCCAGGCATCCCAGAAGAATTATTGACTCGCCGACAATGTCGTGGTGGGCTGATCGGATGGATGCTTTATACGTATATACCAGCACTTTTCTCATCTCAATTAATAATAATTATAGTAGATTAAAAAATTAATCTAAAAAACCACGTTTTCATGATCCAGACAAACAGACAGACAAGAAAGTGAGTTCATAAAAACGTGGTAATAATCGAGAGCATGTACTGTATCTCCAGAGCGTAATCTCAACCTTCATAGGTTTCTTGTACAGTCGAACCTCTCTATGTCGAATTTCAAGGGACTAGCAAAAAACATTTCACATATTCGGAGATTTTGAGTTAAGGGAACCAGGATTTTTTTGTCCTGGGAAACAGCAAAGAATGGCAGGAAATTGTAAATGGTGATAATCTGGGCATGAAATTGCTCCTTAAATGACTTGTCAGGATGCTGAGGTTGAATGCAAGGGTTCATCATTTGCCCATAATTAGTGTTTCACTTCATTACAAAACACATCGTTACTTTTTTATTGCTTTTCTCTTTCATGTGTCAAGGAAATAATAGCCAAAAGGCCTCAGAAAAATTCGAGTTGCGGAGGTTCAAGAGGAAGAACCTCTGAGTTGAAGAGGTTTTTAATGCATGATGGGTTCGAAGGAAATCCAGATGGGAACTTGAAAAAGATTTGACTCAGTGAAGCATTCGACTTATCAAGGCTCAACTGTGCATGGATATTATTTTTTCTCGCCCATCATCGCAGCTTTAAAAGGAAATGCATTGAAAGCAGACACCTATGAATATTCCTCGCAAACTTTCAAATAATCGCGTTCGCTGAGGCGGGTATTCATACCTTTCCCCTATGTATAAATTGATACACACGTCCCAATTTGATGATGGGACTTTGATGGGTCATTAACTAGAGATATTCGTCATCCTGTTCATCTTTTAAGGATGGTGATCTCAAGTTGTGAATATGTAACCCACGCATCAGTGTTGGAATTATGCCAGTCACAGAACTTATTGCATAGTGCTAAAATCGTCTGTTTCTGTAATACATAATGTGCGTATGCTTCCACGTTAACCTGCGTAGTGATTTAAATTCGATGGGTTTCTCATTCATAATGCCGAAAAACTTCGAGAATAGCTTATTTGTATTTCCCAGCACTCGAGTACTTTGAAATCGTGTAATAAAAGTTGGCATGCCGCGGACAAATCAAATGGCAGGCAGTGGTAGACGTATGTTCATATCATTGAGGTCCAGTTGTTGCATGAAAAAAAAGTTATGGATTGAGAATGCATACAATTTCCGATAAAAATCAATCCACTTGCTCCACTTTTACAATTATAATGCACACAGCACAGGAACAATCCAGAACCAGCAGAATAAGGAACATAGAATNCGAGTGAAAAGAAATTCAGAATTTCCAGACACCGACTTTTCCTTCCGATTCCCGACGGCAATCAAAAGTTCGCCGAGAGCCATATGGAATGTTTCCGGGCATTTGTCTTTCGCTCGAGACGCGGAAGTATTATTTGCTGGGGCGGAAACGCAGTAGCAGCAGCTGCTCCTGCTTCTGGCCTCGCCATAAATAGTTTCTTTTCTTTCAATTTTTTCCTCCGAAACCCACGACTTTTTGAGAGCCGAACATGAGCTAAATCTTGATGCTCCCCTTCTCGTTCGAAGATCCCTCTGGCGTAATGGTGCTCATGCATGGCGACGGAATTTGGGTTTTAATAAAATTCGCCGCCGAAGAAAGAGTGTTGACCTCTATCTGAGTCATGAGGCCTCGCTCAGCCAGCGGATAAATGTCACAGGTCAACAAATTTCCTCGTGCTTCCCACACTGTCTTGGCCTAATCGAAGTACTGAAATTATCTTCCGAGTTCCTTTAGATCTCATAGAATCAGCATTCGGATCGTTGCAGAATTGAAAGTAATCGTGCATTCAAGGTCGCGACACGTGACATCTATTGGCGAGTTTGTGAAACAAACGATCTGAAATCACTCACATAGGGATCTTTCCACTGCATTTGCACATGGCATAATTCGAGGCAAACGGTTTCCCATTTTCTGCGTTCTTCCTTTCTTTTTTAGTAATCGTAATTCAGGTTTGTTGCTGGGGGCAAAAAAAGGTATACAGTATAAATCCACGATGCTAGAGATCTAGAAGTTATGCGGCTTCTTGTGATGCGTGCCTTTCTTGGCACAAAAGCATCAAGTTCAGGAGAATCTTGTTAGAACGAATGCAGATCAAATAACTAATCGTTGCTCACGACGAATTCTTTTTTTTTTCAGCCGAATATTGTTGTCAGTATTTTAATTTATTTACAACGCATCGGTTTTATAACAAACCGTTTTTTCTGTCCCAAATGGTTTTGTTTTAACAAGATTTCATTGTATTATCGAAGTTTGACACCCTTCTTCGAAACTGCGCTTAAGTAAAAAATGTAATGTTCTGATTCAACCAATCGATGTTCCCGTATATAGGAATTTTTTAGAATTCCAAAGCGTTTCCCTTTTGTTTAATTTCAAATGGAAATCTTACTGATGATAAGAAAAAAGTGTAAAATACTTTTGCAATTTTCGAAGACTGTGCATACCTTCGAAATCAACTGTAAGCAGGTTAAACTTGAATTTTAATCATGCTGTTCGTCTCGTCTGTTGACTAATATTCATTTTTTCTGCTATAACTAAGAAGAAATCCAAGCGGTGGTACGATGCATTTTCATTTATTTCCCGGTTCTCGTGAAAAATATCCAGCTAGAAAAAATAATCGAATATACTTCAAGTTGAAATTTATTTACAGAAATTATTACGGTCTTGGACATATTCAGTGAGGCTTTAAAAAATTTAATACGGAGCAGGACATAAGCCTTTAGGATATTCTCCTAAGGTTTAGATTTCAACTAATTGTGCGTGATTTTCATTCTAATTTACTAATGAAGAGCTGAAGCTTTTTAAATCAATAACATTTCATTCAAACTTGCCCATCATTCGTTTCGCAGCCTTCAATTTCAGTTTGCTGGCATTTCCCAAGACTTCTGAGTTATAATCTCTAGTAAACTTGATGGTACACAATTGAACTTAATTAGCAGGACTCCAGTTCATGAACTTCATTCTATACACTCATGCACAACTGCCTTCGTTGTTTACCTTCTTTTCTCAACCGGAAATAATGAGTTTCAAGAGCTCTTCATCTGCAGTATAGACTTACTTCAATATATACTGTAGTTGTATGCTCCCGACGTGTGACAGATTACTTGAACTTCTACCTGAGATAAAGGAAAATATTTCCGTTAATTTATCTTTCGGATGAGAAATGGAAGTCTTCTGTTCTTAATTGCTTTTCTACGTCTCAACATCAAAGCGAACTCGACGGGTGACAAGCGGGAGATGAACTCGGCGGAAGTTTCGCTGGATTCATACTTTCAATCTCTTCGATTCACCTCAAGAAAATATGAAAATATGTACACGTACAGCACATTACTTCTTCGAGTAAAAAAAAAGATATAAGGTTCAGAAAAATGTGAAGGCAAGAAAGAGTATATTTATATTCGACAAAAAATAACAACGTCCCGACGCTTTTTTTTTAAATCAAGTGGCGGAGAAAACGTCATCAAAGAATGAATGCTTCGATGCATTTTAATGGAATGGAATAACATGTCGCTCGCGTTTCGGAGAAGAGGAAGGATTCAGTGAGAATTCGCCAATTACATTAACAGCAAGAATTTCTCAGAATGCTTTTCACCACGTTGTCCAAATAATCCCAGAAGAGGGTATTGAAGGAACCAGCGAAATGACGGGAATTTATCTTCCATTCTTGAAGCGAGTATGAGGTCTGCATCATGTTATAATGCCATCGTTACACAAAGACAGATAGAAAGCCTTTGTTAGAAACAGGAGATAGAAAGAAAGCCTCCATGTGAATTTTCTTTCAAAGCTTCATGGGGATAAGAAAGATATACAGAAAGCTTTTGTTATTATCCTCATGAAGCTTTAATAAAAGAAAAGATTCCCCAGTAAGTACAAATTACTTGCGCCGAATTGAATCCCTTCCAGGAAAAATTCCATTTAATTACACCACTTGCATTCAAAAGTGCAGAATATACGGTAGTAACTGTAAAGGCTCTTCTATACCGCTATACGATAGTATCAAGACTTTTATGAAAATTCAGTAATGATACTTAGTAGTCGTCAATTAATGTCTGCAGGTATCCCTTCTCTGAAATCCATTTCTATATATAAATTTACATGAGGTGGTCCAAGATTTCCTCTTTGCGACATAATTTTAGATATTTTTGCATTTCAAAATACACTCTAAAAATGTATTCACACCATGTCTGGCTGATGTTTATCTGCACTTCTAACATTTTTATATCGTTGCTTGGATGAAAACAATTTTTTGACATTTCTTCCACTTGATCAGTCAATCATTTAGGTTTTATAGGTCCAACTCAGAGGGACCCATAGAAAATTGACATAGTACCATTTTTGTGTTGAAGAAACTACAACTAAAATTAAGAACTGCAAGGAAAGAATCCTTGGTGATATTCTCAGCCTTAAAATGCTTGATGAATGATTTCAAAGGTATGTTGAAGTTGGAGGCAAAGGTACATTCGCACAATTTTAATCACGTGCTTCATCATAAAAAGCATAAGTTCCTCTGTCCTGCTGAACACAATTAATACGCAATTATATCATTGCGTAATTAGTATTTATAAATAAGTTGTCTTTGAATCTATGGAGCTGATATCTGTTGCTGATAATAGGTGATGGACTCAAAGATTTCCAGAGGTTACATTTATCCTATGTGAAAGGGCAATTACAAAGCCCCTGAGCAGAAATTTAATTTGAAAAATCAATCCAACACAGGCAGAGAAGACATTAGCAAAACATCCATTTTGTTTCAGTATTGAAGCGAGACGCATGCATTTTTCCTGATGAACACTATACTCAACAGGTAAACTTCAATCAGATAAAAAAAATCTCACGCAGTTCCAGTATAAAAACAAGATTTTACTCAGGTAAAATGAAAACAAAACCCAATGAAACAAAAACCTCCACAAAAAATGAAGATAGAAAATTGTTCAACCTCTTAAAAGTTGGATTGCAATGTTCTCCATCTTTATTGTCTCCACATAAAATTCGATGCAACATGCAGATCTTCTTTAAAAGCATTTCTGCAAAATAACTTTTCCAGTCACTAAGCTTCAAAATGTAAATGGCCCAACCAAACCCTTTCTTTGCGCAACATCTACTTGGAGTAAATAAAATAAATGAAGCTGTGCCTTCTTTCCTACAGTATTGTTTGCTTTTTGTGGGACATCATGTGCTTGAAATGAAAGAGACACAAGATTAAGGAACAATCAATTATCTTCATTCTTTGAGCCAACTAAATAGAAGACTAAAATGAAGTGAAGAAACCTTTTAAATTTATCTTATGCAACAGATATCAATTTCTATGTTAACCTTTTTTTCAATTTAAACCAAGGTGAATAGGGCTGGGCACCGGGCCAGCTTAATCACTTCACTCATTGATCTTTCAGGTAGAAGCCTCTGATAGCTCAAATATGCTACTACGTAAGTTTATTCCACCAAAGACGTGCAATGGCAGCAAGGAGTTCCTCTTTGTTTTAACCATCGTAGTAGGTACGAAAATAAATTATGAGAAGGCTGCTCAAAGATATTGGAGCGAGACCCTGGCTTATATATTATTCGCAGTCAGCCGGACACGCATCAGAAGGGGACTGCATAAGGGGTTTTTTTCTTTTCAAGCCCCGCCATGAATAGAAGTCGTATATACCCCTGCTGATCCCGTTTTTATACCCCCATGCCGCACCAGCAGCTCGACTCTATTATTTTCCGCCGCTCATCAGGGAATGGTCGTCGGCGTAATCGGGCCGACAATCCTGGACCTGGCCCTGGTCCTGGACAAGACGTTGACGGATGTGTCCTTCCTGGTCATGACGCGCCCGCTCGGGACCTCGCTCGGGGCCATCTTGAGTGAGTATAATTCCGCGGCCGAATGATCTCGCATCGTATCAATGACCTCGTTTTCCCCGCGGATGCATTCCCGGCTAACCCGAGGGAGTAACTTGCTTTTTTTTTTTCCCCCGAGGCTGCGGCTGTCGTCTGTTTTGTTGTTCTTTCCGTCTGTTCATTCCTGCTCATCACAAAGGTATATTTGATAGGGGAGGGGGGCGTTTTCCTTCCTAGAGCAGAAATGTACGTTATTATGAGGTGATGCGTACAACTACAGTGTACTGGAAAACATAGGCTGCATATTGACTTCAAGCGAGGAATAGACTATATTCGTTAATCTATAACCGAATTTTGGGAGACAAATGCACCTGTTATATACAAATGTATAGGATTTACAGTGAAGCCTCTTTCAAGTCTAATTTCAAGGGACCATACAAAAATTGAAGTTAGGGAAAACAAGCACTTCATTGAGGGAAAATATATTTGCATGAAATTGTAGTTGGTTATACTGTACAGTGTTCTGGGCCTTAAATTGCCCCTTAAATGAGCTGAAAGAATGCTGAACTCTGAGGCAAGGATTTATTTACCCGAATAGTCAACACTTTATTTCGAAACACATCAAGTTACATTTTTATTGTTATTCTGTTTCTTGTGTCAATAAAAATAGCCAAAATAAGGCCTCCAGAAAATTCGAGTCATGGAGGCTTGCGGAGAAAGCCTTTGAGTTAGGAAGGTTTTAAATGGAATTTGTCTGAGGGGCTCAAACAGGTACTTTGAAAACCTTCAACTAAGCGAGGTATTTTGACTGAGGGAGATTCGAGTTGTCATGGTAGTGCAGTATAGAGTTACAGTTCAATAGTAGCTCCTCATCAAAAAAAACGCGGAATACACATTTATGTCATACCCACCTATTATCGGGAGAAGACTAAAAGTTTCTTTTAGCTCCGCATCAAGTTTCTTGATTCAAGATTCTTGTATCAAGGCGCGTAGTTCGACGGTCTCATTTTCAAAGAAAATCAGGCCGTCGAATTTGTCATTATATAGTACAGTATTCACACATTTACTGTACTGCGCTCATTTGTGCCAATCTCAATGATATAGTTATGATAACGAGGTCCACCATTGCTAATTTGATGACTAGAAGCAATCAAGTGAACTCAAAAAGCGTCGGATATTAAATTAATTGAATTCTTTCCACTTCAACAGCAGCAGCCGAAGTCCAATCGAACGCATGAATTAGACCTAATTTGACGACTGTAAAATTAAGTTATGCTCGCGAAACCTATTGATATCAATGATGCAAATGATTCGTGATTCTTTCGTACACATCATGTTTTGTTTTCCTTTTATTATATCCACGTCAGCCAAATTAACTGGGTGGGAAGGCAGAATTTCCGAAAAATATGATGCACTCAAATAAAACGATCATGGACAATATTCAATTTCGTTAAAAAGACTTCGTATACAGTTTGTAGAAAAATGTTGATAGGGCCCGAAAATCAGTCATCCCTTGTATATTTCTGCATGTGAGCTACAGGGCTCACATTTTTTTCTGCACATTTGAATACGGGTACCTATGAAGGAGAAATGTATAAGATATCCATAAAGACGAGAAAAAAATAATGAAGTCTCAGTATATATCATCCAGTGACAACTGTATATGAGTGCGAAGGTAGTGTCTCTCTACTGTCAAGGCAAAAGCTTAGGAAGGCAAAGTATGTAAGCTTGGTCAATTCTGAAGTAAGAGGCGTTCACGATATGGAACATTGCCTATTTAGTCCCCTAGACCTTCAATTCTACCGAATGAACCATTTGTTATGATAAATTTCACGCAGTTTTTGGGTCAAATTTAGAGTAAGAAATCCAGGATGCGTCTTACATACGATGTCGTCGTCTTGTATATTTTATGGTGTTCCACTTTTCACTGCGTCTGAGATAGAAAATAAATTTCAGGATTGACTCTCTATATATGAGCATCACAATGTTCTGGGTAATAAGTGTCAGAAATGAAAAGAACTAATATTGCAGTACCTTCTTTCCGTTCTCATTGGAAAAAGAGTTAAACCCCTGCTTTCCTTTGGGATCGCTTATTGAAAAGATTAAAACTGACAACCGGTCTAAGTCCTCTTAGTTGCCTGAGAAGGAGTCCAAAGGCACTTTAACCTAGATTACGTTCTCCGGCTTACCTTTAAGCCTGCTTTTAACTGGCTAGTGTTAGTTTAGGTCCTTTCGTCACTTTTCTATATTAAAATAATCAAATGTATATCAAGATTTGGTGTTTCTAAAATTGTCATAAACTTTCATACCTGTAACACAAAAGTACATGAAGCATTGTTTTCGAGTAAAACGTGATATGTCCTTCTGTTCGACGCCGAATTCAGCGCTCTCGGATACATTTTTGAAACATTGAAAATCAGCGATTTATTTTATATGGCTTCCGTTTCTCGAAAGACGATGATGAAGCGGAATCTCGTCACAACGAATATCGTTGAGGAGGATTATTGCTTAAAACGAATTTTTCCCGATCCTTGTCCAATGCCACTTCGTTTTTTAAATTTCGTTTTAATGATTTTTTTTTATTCCTTCGAGAAGATTGCCGGGTTTTGTGAAGGAAACTTGCTATTAGTTAACTTAAAAATTAATAGCAAATCGAAGAAGGTTTAACTAAGCTATTTTAAAGACATCTTAGGTTTCTGCTAGGGCTTGATACAGTAATACTGTGCTAAGGCTTCAGTTGTCACATCTTAATCTTCTGAAGAACTTTGCAACGGGAACCCCGGTTCTAACTCTTTTTCTGTGAACCAAAAATGGGAATATTTGTTTTAGTTAATTTCCATTTTAAACCCGTATTATTGAGAATACAGTGATGATCAGAGGAAATCCTGGAATTGCCTTACAAATATGAAAGACGCAATCAAATTTAAAACGTCGAAGAGGAATTATTTCAGAATGACAAGCAGCTGCACTTGAATTCTTCAGTTCGTATAACGCACGCAAGATAAAATGGTTTCCGTTTCGCAAACCCTCAAAAAACACAAAAAATAAACAGAGGTGCGTCTCATAATCGGCGGCATCTTATATTCGAGTAAATACGGGTATAGTCGATCGTACCCTACTCTGTCACCTGGGTGACAGATTCATCATCAGAACCCGTGGCTTTCTCGCGTTTCCCGGGAACGGGCCCGCGGGCGTCGGGGATTTTTTCATTAGTTCGCTGACGAGGGGAAATGAAAACGCAGGTCCGTTGTGCTGTCGACGAATGAACCCGTTCCTGTTCCTATTCGCTGTCACGTTGCTGTCGGGCGTGTCCCTGGTGGCGACTCCTTTCAGCCGCGACGTGTATCTCACTTCTTTCTTCCTCGGGCTAGCTGGCCTTGGCACCGGTCTCCTGTCGACTGGTGAGTGAGACAATTCGACTTTCATTCATTCAATATCGTCTGAATTTATACTTGTATAGTTGAGAACAATGGAATCCCCATTATCAGTGCTCTCATCGTCAATCAGGAATTTGATATTACATACAAGAAAGCGCCTCGATGTTATAGGAAAACTGATCACATTGAACTAGCATCCTCGATTCATTACACAGTATGCGACACCATCACCAACATAAACTTTTCAACATTGATGAATGCTTCATTTTTCGACCGTTTGTCGATTAAAAGTCACATCTCATACAGTATTTCTGAGAGTAAAAATTGTGTTGTTCTCACTTTGATCAGATCCAGAATCCGCCACAAAATGCAACAATACCCATTTTGATTCATCTCTTCGGGATTTTCAAACTCTTCAGAAGAAGACATCCTAACGTGTCATTGATGTTTTAATGCATTTTAAACATGTTTATGGTTCAGACAAATACTTATATCACTATATTACAGAACAGTCTTCACCTATTTTTGATGCTGAAAATTTGAATTTTGGTGCAAACGAAAGTTTAGCGTCTTTCGAAGGTCTTTTTTTTATTCGTCAGGCATTTGAATTTTTATTTGTCAGTCATTCAGATTTTCCTTTGCCGGTTATTTACATGTTTTCTGTTATATTTGTGCATTCAATAATTATAACTATTGTAAGAAAGCCACATCAATATAAAAATTTGCAAAAATTCAAAAATGTTTTAATTTCATAATAGTTTAAAAACTATCCATGCTCAAAAGCTGACCGGGTTAAAAAGTGAATTTCACATAGTGTACAGTACTGTGCTTCGGGTTAACGAATACAGTAATTTGTTATTATATAGAGTATACTGTAGTTCGAATGTTTAGAGTTGGACCATTTCAAATTCGAAGCACAAAAATGCGTGGGAGGTTCTCTTGATTTTTTTTATTATAATAAGGATTTAGTCAGATGAAAAAGGAAGTGATTTCTCTCTCTCAGCATGAGATTGGAGCTGTACAGTCCATAAATTTGCTGTACATGAAATATTCCTGTGGCTACTTTAAGCAAAGCTTGTATAAGCGGATGAAACCCACATATTGAACGTATCTAAACAATCACCTATTCCTGAAGACGGCTTTTTATACTTAGCACGCCATTGTTATGAAGTATCTTTTAGAGCGTTTAACTTAAGAACCTGTAGGCGGCGCCAGACGTTTTCGACAGACCTTTTCAAGCCTGTGCGTGGGCGCAAAACGGTTTCAAAGAACCCACATTCTTGACACATTTATGGAGAGCATTAGGTACATGGATGGGCCTTGAAAGTTATTTCATACAGTATATTTTGGGGAGAAAATGGAACATACCCCGTATCATACGGTACAGTATATAGAAAGCAGCGGAGTGCATTACGAGGATTAGTTCATAAGTTTGGGACAAAGAAAAAACCGTACAGACGCATATAGCCCCATCAATAATTGGCAACACTTCCGTGCTGTTCAACATACCCTCCGCCGAATTCAATGCATTTTTTCATGCGATAAGTCCAATGATGGAAACAGTGCCAAAATTCGAGTTCTGTTAGTTGATTAGGCATCCTGTGACTTCTTTCTGGCTGTTCCCGACATTCAAAAATAATTTCTGAAAGGGATATTGATTTTGAGGACAGGAGCAGCCTCATTTCCGCTGTGGAAGAACGGAACTCCATTTTCGGTACTGCTTTGATGGTTGGATTTATCTCATGTACGAATGCATTGAAATTGGCGGAGATTATGTTGAACAGCACTGGAGTGTTGCCAAATGATGGAGTTACGCGAGTAAAAAAAAATTTTTTTTTGTTGAAACTCTGTTGGATCTATTTCAAAACGTCTCAAACCTTGTGAACCTGCCCCTGTATACCTTCTCGTATCTTCAGGAATACAGCTCGTCTTTGAAATTTTCCAGGCTCCAACATTTACATGCTGGACATGTGGTCGGACAAGGCTCTGCCGTGGCTGCAAGCGACCTACGGACTTCTCGGGGTCGGGGCTTTAGTCGCCCCTTTGATCTCGGCGCCTTTTCTCCTCGAGACGCCGGCCAACGACGATGATCAAGGTGCGCCGGGTGGAATTTCCAATAGCTCCACATCCGTATTGGCCGCCGCCGAAGGTATGCATGAACAGTATGTACAGATAACATGCGTGCGAAATTCTGGTCGCCGAATTCAGCTTCCATGCAGCGCACATGCAGTATCTTATGCTTTATTCAACGCGAAACCCGCGAATGAAATGCGCCTCTGTATAATACACTCGTATACTGTAGCCCCGACTTCCGAATTGAATCAGGATTCGCAAATGTGTCCAAGACATCCTCTAATTTTTTTCAATACACACCCAAACGGAAGATGTACACTGAATTCGTTTTACGAAATGTCATCAGTGCGCAGTCAGCTCGAAAAACTTCAGCGTTGGTTACGTTTCTTGACCTTTGAAGTTTTGCGCATAAACGTAAAACTTGATTTAGTCTTCAAGTTTTTGAAATGCAAAAATTGTCCCGCCAGAAACTTTGCCAATAGAAAAAAAGTACAGTACAGGGAAAATTCCATCAAAATGCTTTGAAATCCCTTATCATTTTCTGGTTTTAGCTACGTGCGACCTTCCTGTCCCGGGAAGTATAAATATTAATTGTTAGATCCTTGGAAGAGGGACAATTTGAAAGATAAATGAATCCGATTGGATGCTATCTTTTGAAGCACAAAAACCTGATCTAACAAAAAGATTTCGTTCTTCGAATATAATGTAATGTATTTACTCAACTGCAATTAACTGAGATGTATCACGGAGGAATATTGCCGGTTATTGCCTGAAAATAGAATAAGCCCTTGCACAGTACACTGCTCTTGAACTATTCCTGAATGTATTCCGAATTTCCATTGTCCTCCAAAAATGTTCCTCATCTAGTCCCCCAGGTTCAACACAAACATTTTTTCAACCAGTTCAATCTCTAGTTAGGTTGGGTATTTTCTCAAGTGTTTTCTTCAAGTGTGGGTTAGTACTGTACTACGGTATTTGCGTGAATTTTATAATCCAGTTCAAGCACTGTGACCCACTTAGCATCAAAAATTGATGGCAATTCAGGAAATATCATTTTTCTCAATAGAATATGCACAATAAGTATTGTGACGTTATCCATAATCACTCCTAATGTAGAACCAGTGTCCCACTTACGACAAAACTGTTGGAATACTTTTGGAATGGTTTTGAATCCAAATTGGACTAAAGTGGGGTCCTGACATGAAGATGCCACAAAATATGGATGATTTGACTTAGGGACAATTGACATTCAGAAAATCTGACATGACATCTGGTCAGTGTCTGAAGATAGGGAAACTTGAGAAACATTTCTAGACAAATGGAAAATGGTATCTTTCAAACTGTTGATATCTCTTGAACAAATTGAGCGGTCATATTCAAAAAAATTAAAAAAAATTATTTTATTATCAATACAATACTGTACATTTTAATTCATAATCCAAAGCAGGCTAATTTTGTGCTTCTTTTTTCAGCATTCTTTCCATTATCTGTGCACAGCACATGAAGACTTGTGCTTGTTCTTCACTTTTTTGGATCTCTCTCATGCCAAACGATCAGATTTTTTTATGGTTTTCTTCTGCTGAATTATTTTCTGGATTTTGAACTTTAAAAATTATTATTTTTTCATAATTATTTTCCAATTTCTAATGGAACTTTTTTCTAATGTCTAATCAGCAGCAAGAGAACCAATTAAACATAATCCTCTTGAAGTTTAAGGGAAAACGTAATCGGACATTTTGACATCGAGACAAGGTTCAAGCACCAATCATGTCTACATCTCGGGGCACCACGGGGTATTCTTGAATAAATAATGTTCCGCTAAATACTCGTCTCTTTAAAATCCGAAGGTACTAATGAGACTCAAGTACACTACGCGTACGTGATCATCGGGGGATTCACTATCCTGACATCGCTGACATTCCTCGTCCAGTGGATGTGCGTGGGCAACTACAAATTTTCTGGCCGGATCGCACACAGGGACTCAAAGAAAGCTCGCATTGAAAATTCGGATGCGGTGGATTTGCGAGAGGAGAGAAATCGACGCATCCTGAAAGTCCTGATCATTATGACGGCCTGCTTTTTCTTCTTCGTCTTGGTATACTCCGAAGTCGGGTTGGTACTCATGCCGATCAAACAGCAGTAGGTTATAAACCCAGTTTGCATATCGATTTGTTCAGGAAGCCCGTCACAATTGAATCGACACTTCGATTCCATGTTCCCAGCGAAAAGTAGGCTTTGTATATAACGCGAGTTACAAATTCGTGAGAAGCGCGGCGCGAAGGTGAATGTACTCTAACAGCATTTCAGAGTTCAACAATGTGTCCCGAGTTCGGGAGGAGAATATTTCAGGTACAAATTGATTCAACCTACTACATTCTCTTTCTCCCTTCGAACTGCACCAGAATACGAATCAGAAGATCTTGATCAACTCAGGCGAAGAAGATCCAGAGTTAAGATGCGCAAGTACCAAAGCTAGCATCGAAAAGGAAAATACACTATACTGTAATAAGAATCTGGAAAGACGTAAGATAGCCCTCCACGGAGACTTTGAAATAAATAGGAATTCTGGGAAAATTCTTTTAAATGTATTTAAGATATTGCGAGAAGCTACCCACAGGAATTCAGGATCAACAAACGAGCAGGCTACCTAACGATAAATACAGTTCACCGATGAACGCAATCAAATTTCAAGACGGATTGACGGATGAAAAATTCATTGTAGCAAAAAAAATAAGTACAGTACTATAATCACCTGTAATCTGGTTCTCTCGACGGGTGTTCTTCATTCCGTAGAGCCATGTATATTTTGTGCACTCTAGAGTCTAGTCCTCTAGCAAAGTGAACACTGTAGCACATGATTCCCAAGTACAGGAGCAGGACCGGCTAATGTGCATGATGCTATGATTTAATTTGATAATTCAACAGGGCTTTCCGGATTCACAACAAATTTTAATTTTTCATCACGTATTAATCATAACTTCAGTGATTCAATGCTAATGTCGAATACTTCTGATAATCCTTTTCCTTCAATAGAAATGGTTTCAAAATATGAATTTCCGTAGGGAATTACAGATCTGCTTCCCCAAGCCTCTATAAGTCGAAATCCTCGAACCAGACCAATCGGTTATTCATAAAAAGTTGAAGGCCCAATTTTCATTCGCACCGTACTCCCCGCTGGTTCGTAATTCACGGCAATCTTCACGTTCACCATCTCGAATAACGAAATTTCCAAAAAAATTGTATCCTTGGAATAAGTGTGGAATTGGAACAAAAACAATTACGGGAATAAGTGGAAGATGGATGAAGCACATGCACCATCCCCACATAAACTGCTAAAATGATTTTCGTAACCTTCCCTCAGGATGTCAAAACGGTTATGACCTTCATGCAGAGCATCAATTCACTTACTTGTCAAAATTCGCTGCATTTCCAGTTACGCGGACTTGGTGGTACCGTTTGCACACTACTCGGATCTTCAAATGCCCAAGAAGGAAGCGGCCAACATCAACTCGTTTTACTGGGCAGCGTACACGGCAGCACGGCTCGCGTCCGCCGTCTTGGCCATCAAGATGGGGCCGTTCAAAACACTCCTGATCGAGTTCGTGATCGGAACAATAGGCACTCTACTGCTGCTCTTCTTCGCTAATCATTCGGTGACGTGGCTGTGGATCGGATCTGGTTTGCTCGCAATCGGCAGAGCCGCCATCTATGCAGCTGGAATCGCTCACCTCGAAAGGTTTGTCGCTGCACCATGAATTCCCTTTTCAATTCTGGCTGAACTTCATGCACAGGTTCACGCTGTGACAGGAGCAAGATAAACCACAAAATTCCATCGAAACACAAGAGCAGGAGAACTTATTTTTGTCAAGATCACCCGCATTACAAATAACTGCGTCCAAAAAGTCCCTGCGCACTTCCACTGTGAAGATAAATTTCCTGCGAGCTTTTATACCTCGATCAATAATTCAGAGTACCCCGATGACACTAGCATTTGCAATTGCATCTTCATCCGAAAGTCATCCATATGTGCTGTTTGCATCTCGTAAGTGTGCATGAACATGAACACATCATCATAATACTGCAGCAGCATACAGTACCTGAGTGGAGTGGAGTTTTTTTTTTCGGAATTTTCATTAATAATCATCAACCTTTCCGTGCTTAAAACAATTCCGTTTCTCAAGCCTTCTGAACAGATCCATCACCGGTCTTTGTTTCTGCGCGCGTTTTGTCTGAAATTCAAAACACCGTACCCCTGGAAAGCGCACTTTTTCACTGCGCAGAAATTTTTGAACACTACACATGACAATTAATGTTAACTGATGCACCGCTCATGAACATGTGGACGCCAGATATAATGCACTTACATCACCAAGTGATGACAAATTCGTACACTGATCACTGA